TATTTCGTTTAAGAATAATTAATTTCTCTATTTTAAAATTGACAGAGATATAAAAATATTTAAATTATTTATATAATTATCTGTTTTTATAATTTTTTAATTAAGTTAAATTAATTACAAAGTAGTATCTGTTATAAACACTTTTAATTATTTGATAATGTCATCTTGTTATAGTCGCTGGTGCTCGAACCTGTGATATCTATAAACAACAATGTTGGGATTGCGATGAAGATCAAATGATCAACCGAATGATTTGCCAAAAGGGTTAATTGACTTTTTGAGTTTAGGGAGTAAGGAGAATAAAAATATAAACAATTTGCACATGGATTTATAGTGGTTCGACTTCTCAACCAAGTCTACATCCACTACCTTAGCTCCTTACTAAGGATTTTCTGACAAATTCACTAATTTGTTCTTTCTTTTTACAGGACCAAGAGATAACATTTACAATTCCCTAACTTTTCACAGGCTAAGCTAGAATCAATACCCTTTTACAAAAGGTATAAAATGTAAACAAAAAAACCTCTCTAAAGCAGGGTGTTTACAAGAAAATTAAGCTCACAAGAAAACAATTGAAAGATTTACAATGAGCTCAAAAACACAAATTTTTACAAGAGAAAGGAAACATAAGAATAAAAGCTCTTCTCTTGTGTTTGATTGCTTGAATAGGTGTTCTAACCCTTCTTCAAGTGTCATTAACTTATTTTTATAAGTTGGAATGAGTTTGTGGTTGTCTCTAGCCGCTGGGGATGATTTTTCTACAAAATAAAACTTCCCAGGAGAGGGAGTATCGATACTCCTTAAATGAGTATTGATACTACCTTTATAATTTTTAAATAATTTCTTATATTTGGAATTCATGGTCTTAAATTCCAAATGTAATTCATCATAAGCAACTTGTAACTCATTAAAATAATAAGAATTTGATTCACTAGAGCTAAAAGTTACTTCAGGCTCTTCAAGAGCCATTAAGCACACTACCTTTGGTCGTTCTTCTTTCTTGTTTTCATGTATATCTTCGAGCTTATTCCAAAGTTCCTTGGCATTTGAACAAGAATAAACTCCTTCACAAACATCGGGACCAAATGCACAAAACAACATGTGCATGGCCTTAGCATTTTGTTGAGCTTTCTTCCATTCTTGGGCATTCCACTCCTTCTTCTTTGGAGAAGAGTAGCCGTTCTCGATCATCTCCCATTCATCAAGACCATTGGATTAGATAAATAGTTTCATTAATTTCTTCCAATGACGGTAGTTGGCTCCATTGAAGTACGGAGGCTTGTCGATCAGCTAGGAGTCTTCTATGTGGAACGAGCCAGAGGTGGAACCCATTTTCTCGGTTGTGTCGAAAATGTATAGAGCTTCTTCAAGGATCGTCTCATGGTTGTTAAACCTTATAAGAAGTCAAGCTCTGATACTAATTATTAGGATTGCAATGAAGCTCAAATGATCAACCAAATGATTTGCCAAGCAAGGGTGAATTAGCTTTTTGAGTTTAGGAAGTAAGGAGAATAAAAAGATAAACAATTTGCACAAGGATTTATAGTGGTTTGACTTCTCAACCAAGTCTACATCCACTACTTTAGCTCCTCACTAATGATTTTCTAACAAATTATCTAATTTGTTCTTTCTTTTTACAGGATCAAGAGATAACATTTACAACTCCCTAGCTTTGCACAGGCTAAGCTAGAACCAATCCCCTTTTACAAAAGGTATAAAATGTAAACAAAAAACCTCTCTAAGGTAGGGTGTTTACAAGATAATTAAGCTCACAAGAAAATAATTGAAAGGTTTACAATGAGCTAAAAAACACAGATTTTTACAAGAGAAAGGAAAAATAAGAATAAAAGCTATTCTCTTGTGTTTGATTGCTTGGATAGATGTTCTAACCCTTCTTCAAGTGTCCTCATCTTATTTTTATAAGTTTGAATAAGTTTGTAGCCGTTTCTAGCCATTGGGGATGATTTGTAGCCGTTGGGGGTTATTATTCTACAAAAATAAAACTGCTCAGGACATGGAGTATCAATACTCCTTTAATGAGTATCGGTACTACTTTATGATTTTTAAATAAACTAGTCGTTAAAGACCGTTGGGCTTGACCAGTATCGATACTATGCTCATGGTATCAATACCACTATGTAAAGTAGTATTGGTATCCCTTTGAGTATCGGTACCTATTTTGCATTCTGGAATTTGAGCTATTTGAAAAACAATTGGTAGTATCGATACTACCCAGAGAGTATCGATACTTCTCTTACCTTTGGTATCAGTACCACGTGAACAATATCGATATTATTCATGCAGTATCGATACTATGAGAACAATATTGGTACTACTTACCCAGAAAAGCGTGTTGTGCTCAAATTCTAGTTTAATAAACTTTGAATTATTTTTGAAAACTGTTGAAAACTTTGAACAAATTCAATCAAGTCCAAAAACATTTTGCCTTTTGCTATATCAAAATATTATAACACATAGTTCAACAAACAACGATTCCTTTAACCAATGAAATAAGTTGATTCGTGTTATTTTCATAATTAAAGTGTATTAAAATAAATTTTTAAACATGATAAATAAATTAAAATAAAACTTTAAAATTTACATAATCTTTTTAATATAGTTTAACTGCCTATAAAAAATTGGTGAGTTATTAAGTAATTAAAAAGTCAAATTCAATTAATAAAATATTTGGATTGTTTTTAAAATCTTTTTTTATTATTAATTTAGAGTATTTATATGTATCTATTTGAAATATTTTTAATTTTTAATGAAAAACGTTCAAACATCCAATAGACAAACGTTATATTCAAATATAAAATCTCTAAAAAAACCCACTAATCATTCAATCATTAAAATCACTTAACTTTGTACATTTCTAAAATTTCTTTAAAAAAAAAGTTGGCTGACCAACCACTTAATTGAATCAAAATTAATTAAATTCATAATCAATTTTTTTATTATAAAATCCCTTTCGACGGAATGAAGAAGGAAGACAATTAGAGATGACAAAAAAATTCGAATTCAATGGAAAAAATCGAAAATCGAAAATCGAATTAAACGGGGACGGGAAAAAATCGTTTATGTTAAACAGGGACGGGTTTAGTAATATCTGCCCCAATTATCCGATTACCCGGCTCGATACCCGACCCGATAAATATTAAAAATAATTATTATATATATATAATATTAATAAATTTAAATTAAATTAAAAAATATATATAATATTTATATATTTAATTTAAATATATATATCCGGCCCGATTCCCGTTTAAATAACCGTTTATGCTAAACAAGGATACCTGTTTTCCCGCGGTTTTCTCCTATTACCCGATGGGGATCCCTGTTTAAATCCCTGCGATTTTTTAAACGGGAAGGAGTACGAGTTTTTTAAACGGAGATGAAAATGGGGACCAATACCTGACCTGAACCCGGTCCGTTACCATCCCTAAAGACAATCTATGTAGAATCAAATTAAATTAATGAATAATCGAATTTTATTTACTAAAATTTCTTAAGTTTTATCATCAACAAAACTCTATAAATGGTGCAAAATCATCAATTCTACTGGAGTATAGGTGGCGAATATTGATTAGGTAAAGTGGAATATCAAGACACTCTTCTCGACTCTTTGCGCGTCTTCTTCTTCATCTTCCTCATCCTATTTTTGTCTTATTTTTTTTCCTAATGAAAACTATACTTCCCGCCCCAACTGAAAGAAAGATAAAAATTTAACTCATCGGCTGCCTCTTCATTTCTTAACATCTTCCCAGGTACTTCCATACATACATACATACATACATACATACATACATACATACATACATACATACATACATACATACATACATACATACATACATACATACATACATACATACATACATACATACATACATACATACATACATACATACATACATACATACATACATACATACATACATACATACATACATACATACATACATACATACATACATACATACATACATACATACATACATATATACATACATACATATGCATACATGCATGCATGCATGCATGCATACATGCATGCATACATACATATACTTGTTTGTTTTTTCGTTCTTCAGAATGCTCTTATTTTCCAGTTTCTCGATGTGGGGTTTCTTCTTTTGCTTGTATCTAGGGAACCCCAGTTATGGATTTTGATGCTTGGGAATTCGTGGGAAATTAAGGATACGATTTTGAATGATTGTGTTTGTTTTTAATATTTGAGTTTGCTCCAGTGGTATGGGACTGGTAATAATGCTGAGTTTAATTGGTCGAAATTTTCGATTAGCTCTCTGGAACTAGTTCTTTGGGAGTACTTGAAATCAAATGTCTTTTCTACAAAGCTGCTAGATTCTTAATGGAAAAAACCGCTACGTTTGGATTCAATTAACTGCCGATATTTAAATTGCGGAACGGCCACGTTTTCGGTTTTATTGCATTCATCGTTATTGCTGCAACAGCGGGTACTGTTGCGGTCAGTTCGGGGATCACAACAAACTGTTGTGCAGCCTTTACTGTTACATAACGGACGCTAATCCTATATTTGGAGGATTTCGGTGTTTGGATTGGTATTCTGGCTGGATCCTTTTAGATGCTGTCTTAGTTGGTGCGTAGATTGACAATGTTCTTTAAATGTTTGCTTTTAGTTCACAATGAAAGCCATACAATGAATTTGTTCTTTCTAACTAATCTCCCTTTGGTGTTATTGCTTCCTTGGTTGAATATGAATTTATCATATATATATATATATATATATTACTTAGACTTATGTGCAAGTGTCGAATACGTGTATGCATCTAATATGATTATGTTTATCTAGCGTTTTCTATTAACTGTAGAGTCATCTCTCTATACTGATACCTAGATAAGTGTAAGATGTGGGGATCCGACATGAGTACTTTAAGAAGAATGAAGAATCCGTCATATATTGCTACCTCTAACATAGCCGCTTTTTCTCTGCACACACACAGGTTAATCACAAAAGGAGTGTCTTACAGTCTTCTTCTATCCATTGCCAGCAACTCTTGCTGGCAGCGAAAACGTTTTTCACATTTTTTTGAGGATCATGAGTCCCCAGACGACATTGAGACATAGTAAAGCCTTAGAGGGTTTGCATGGGGTGCAAGTGTTTCCTCATTCGCAATCTGTGTTGGAGGAGATTAACCAACTAGAGAACTTCCAATCCAGTCATGATAAATCATTTATTACAGCAAATCAACCAATATTGATACAGTACGCTAAACCGAAAACTTATTTTGTAAAAATATCAGTTGTTCAAAATATTTCGAGTGTCCATCTGTTTAAATCCTAACTTATCAATTTATTTGTAGAAATTATTGTGAATACACTATTTTTTGCATATGGTCTCTGTAACATAGTTGCTTAAACATGTTTTTCAGAGTATGGCAGCAGAGACCAGCTTGTTTAAGGCCTATAAGATGCTGTACGCAAGGTATGGTAAAGTACTAATGCATTCATTTTCTTTGAAGTAATCATGTGACTCATTTTCAAACATGATTATGGAGATATGATCCTCCAAATACATGATAAAACTTATAAAACTGAAAATACCCATTATTGGACGCATGACGTATCCACCTCTCACACTCAAGCCCAATCAACATAGTTTGTGGGTGTGTATCTTTGCTCGCAATTTTTCTAAATATGATTCTTTGTCAATGCTCATCTTTTTAAACATTGTCAGGTGACCATAATCTTGTAGAGACGGTCGCAAATGTGTTGACATCACTTCCCTTCATAGTTCTTGGGATCCAAACCCCTAGGTAGTATTCAGTTTTCTTCATAAACAAGATATCAATCTATTTAATTTGCTCCTTCTTGTAATTTTTCTTAAGCACTTGTGTTTGACACCTATACCCGAACATGGGCATGATGATATGATATTCCAAAGACACTTCAAATACATGAAAAAAATTAGAAAAAGTAAAACATACCCGTATTTGACATTCACACCCATGTCTGAATTACATAACTTATTAACACTTTATTTACTTGGATGCAGGAAAAATTTTAATACTACACTGTATGCTAATTCACTAATTGGAGTGGGAGTTGCCTCTACATTGTACCATTCTTCCAGAGGAAAGCTGAGGAAATACTTAAGGTGGGTCGACTATACAATGATAGCCACTTCCACTGTGATAAGTTCCTATGTTGCTTCGTCTCTTCAGTTTTTCTTAGTACTTATGACGCTAGTGTTGGACATTTTCGAACATGAGGATATGATCCTCCAATGACTCTCCAAGTACATGGAAAAACGTGGAAAAGATTGAACTTACCCATTTAGACATATGCTCATATCCACCACTTACCCCTGAGTCCAAGTAATGTTGGTAAGTTCAATCTGATTCGTAATTTGATTGGAATAAATGCATTAAAGTACCCTGTCCAATGCATGTCCGGACACGGTTATAGGGATACAATCTCCAAGGATCTTCAAAATGCATAAAAAATCTTGGAAAAAATTGAACACACTCATTAGACAGTGGACCCCTGAATCCAAGTAACACAGGCTATTGACTTGTACGATGTTAAAGATTAAAGTTAATGTTAAAGCGTTGTTACTATGCTGCATTTTATACTACACAATGCATCCTGGAGAAACTATTCTCTATAATACTCCGACACATTATTTTCAAAATACTTGTGTTGGACTTATTTTGGATTTGTGTACGAGGACATACCCTCAAATGAGCTTCCAAATACATGAAAGAACTTTAAAAATAAATAAATAAATAAAGATGCTTGTGTCAAATAGATAATCGGATTTGACCTTTCACCCAAGTCCGAGTGACATAGTTGCTGTACTTCTATTTTAAATTGCTCTCTTAGATACAAAATTTTAAAACAGAAAATCGTTATTGCAGTGTCTATCAAGAGCTATTCGGAATGAAAACCCGAAGTTACTGATGGCAGCTTCGGCTTTGCTTCTACCTGTCCAGCCTCTGATGGTTTCAGCTGTTCACACTGGGATGATGGAGGTAACTTGGGGTTCCTACAATTTTTTCCTTATTGCAATTTATGCGAAGGGATCAAAACAGATTTGCACAATCTTTTAATAGTTTGTATATTTAGAAGATCGAATGCTAAGAAACGTCTGAATATGTGTTGAAACAAGTATCAAATACGGATATTTTATAAAAGAGAAAAACTCGAATTTTGATGTTGGGTGAACCCGAGGTTGCCCGATCACTACTTCAGCTTAAACAGTACAGTTGATTTACTGTAATTCTAGGCTGAATATGTCCTTATACCAAACACAAATGTCGGACATAGATATTTCAGAAAATTAACGAAGAGTCCAGGCAACATAGACTATAATTGTGATGTTAGCTAATCTCTGTTTGCTCAATCATCGTTCCAGTTTAACAATACAGTTGTTTTCTTACCTTCTAGGCTGAAGCTGTTCTTATATCGAACACCACTTCTGTACACGGATATTTTAAGGGGGGGAAAAGCCGGAATAACATAGTCTATGATAGCTGAATGTGATTTCCTAAGCATTGCTACAGTTTAACATTACAGTTGCTTAAACTTGGCTTGAGGGCTGACACTGTTGGTATACTGAAACCTCCAGTTGATCCATTACAGGTTGCATTTGCTAAAAGAGCCGTAAATGATCCAGAATTAAGGAAAGCTCACGACATGCATAAGATGTCATCTCTATTGGGGGCTGCTCTTTTCATTGCCGATGATATGTTTCCCGGGACGCCTTTCCTTCATTCCGCATGGCATCTGGCAGCGGCAGTTGGTGCCGGCACCTGTAACAAGCTTCTCGAGTAGTGAATATCATATAGTCAACCCTATATCTTCCGTTGATTCATTTATCTTGAGAGCCGGGGAAACGAAATCGCATTGTTTTCCAAGCACCATCAGGGATAAACATGGATATACATATTCAGTCGCTTTTTATTTATTTTCTTTTCATGTATTTAGAGGGTCATATTTTTATATGCATTGTATACTGAACAGTCGGAGAAGAATAGGCAGGATGTCCTGCATATGATTATGTTATTAGAAGAAAAAAAATAGATAGAGGTTTGATTTGAAAAATATTTTTAAATATTAATCTAATCAAATTCAATAAAATCTAAATTGAGCACGTTTTTAATATTTAGATTTCTTTGCTCAGTGGTTGGCTCAAAGGTGACCGACCATAAACGAGTTTATTTATTTCATCTATTACCCTATGCTAACGAGTTTTAAAATAATTAAGATTTTTTTTTAGAAAAATAAGTTTTAAAATAATGAACGGTTCAAACACTATCCGTAATTTATTACTGTATACAATAATCCTTGGCTCATAAGCTTTGTAATAATTCTCAATCAAACCATAATTAATTCTTAAGCAAATCATGACACCTGTAAAACACGTCACCTACAAAACGTGAAATTGTATAAATATATACTAATTTATTTTATGTTAATCTTTTTTATTAAATAATAAGTTTGATCAATAAGATTGTGATTTCAAAAGGTTTGAATATAATCAAGTTGAGCTCCAACTATGTTCGACCTCCTAACTAATTTTAAAACGGAATTCTCACTCATAAAATACATTAGATGGTGATAGCAAAGGAGTAGGAAGCTCCACGTTATTTATAAATATATTGAACCTTTTATTTTAAAACAAGTTATTTTAGTTTCATCTTTTAGAAAAAGTTAACTTCATTATTGTTGAATCAAGTTTTAACAAATTAAACCAACAATTAATTTGTCTAGTGAGACGAAACACAAGACTCTTTAAACAATGTCAGAGGTTCAAATTTTGGAACAAACTATAATGGGAGGGTCGTCATTGCCTCTGTAATATCCGATATAAATTATTTGATCAATAGATTGAATATCAGTGGTTATACCAATTTTTTTCACAAATTAAATTTAAATATAGAGTTGAGTTGTACATGAACTTAATTTGATGGTTTTTACTCGTATTTATTTTTATAAGGAAAAAATGTGATCGCCATTTTTATTTTAACTGGACCTTAAGCCCAAACTAAATCAATCCCCAAAATAAAACCCCAAACCCTTTACAAAATACAACTAGGCCCCAAGCCCCAGACCCAAAACCCGACCAGGACCCAAAACCAACCGAGACCCAAATTTAATACCCAACTCGAGGCTCAAAACTAGACTCGACCCTAGTCTAACCCTAGCCCTAGGGTAGCCGCCCAATTCCTCCCAACCCGTGGCCACCATTTCTCTACCCCAATACCAACAAAAGACACCCATGCACGCCTAGCTTCACGCGACCCTGCATCAGAAACAAAAGAGAAGAAACAAAATGACAATCATTGTATTTCCAATGTAAATGGGTACAAAACCCATGCATTAAAAATTGTACAGGGATTCGAAAAAAAACCTTTGTAACACTGTTTTTTTAAGGCAATAACAAAAATATTACGAGGTTATTTATCTTTTTCTTTCGGTATTTAAATAGAGTTTTTTTTTCTTTGGTGATTTACTGCTTTCGGGTTTGAATCTCAATAAAAGAAAATTCTTTTTTCTTTTAGATTTCGAAACAAACCATAACTTTTTTAGTTTCGTTCTAAAACGTTAATTATCTCGAATAATAAACAAAAATAGAATCTTTTTGATAATACTAACCCACCATTTTACGCAGTAAAAATGCTAAAAAAATAAAAGAAAGTGATAGATCTAAGTTACCTAGGTCGTCGAAGGCGTCGCCAGAGTCCAGGGAAGTCGAGGAGTCGAGTCGGTTTTGGGTAGTTTAGGGGTGTTTTAGGTGGTTTTAAGCCCTAATATAGGTCCTAGGTGGGTAGATATACGTTTTTTGAGATTTTTGGGTTATTTTAGGTTTTTTGACCGCCTTGTGCGGCCACCGAAGCATCGGCCGAGGAAAGAGGACAGCGTTATAGTTTTTTTGTTTGTTTTTCCTGTTTTGGGTTTAAAATGAAATATAAACCCTGGTCTAACCCTAGCCCTAGGGTAGCCGCCCAATTCCTCCCAACCCGTGGCCACCATTTCTCTACCCCAATACCAGCAAAAGCCACCCATTCACGCCTAGCTTCACGCGACCCTTGCATTAGAAACAAAAGAGATGAAACAAAATGACAATCATTGTATTTCCAGTGAAATGGATATAAAACCCATGCATTAAAAATTGTACAGGGATTCTAAGAAAAAAACTTTGTAACACTGTTTTTTAAGGCAATAACAACATTATTTCGAGGTTATTTATCTTTTTTTGGGTATTCAAATAGAGTTTCTTTTTGTTTTTTTCTTTGGTGGTTTACTGTGTTCCGGTTTGAATCTCAATAAAAGCAAATTCTTTTTTCTTTTAGATTTCGAAACAAACCATAACTTTTTTTTAGTTTCGTTCTAAAACATTAATTTATCTCGAATAATAAACAAAAACATAGGCTTTTTGATAATACTAACCAACCATTTTACGCAGCAAAAATGCTAAAAAATAAAAGAAAGTGATAGATCTAAGTTATTTAGGTCGTCGAAGGCGTCGCCAGAGTCCGGGGAAGTCGAGGAGTCGAGTCGGTTTCGGGTAGTTTAGGTGGTTTTAAGCCCTAATATAGGTCCTAGATAGGTAGATCTATGTTTTTTTTTTGAGATTTTTGGGTTATTTTAGGTTTTTTGACCGCCTTGTGCGACCACCGAAGCAACGATCGAGGAAAGGGGAGAGCATTTAATTTTTTCCCTTTTTGGGTTTAAAATGAAATATATAAAAAAAGTTTGATATATATAGGAAACTTTTAGGGTAAAATCACGCTTAGGTCCTTATACGTTTAGCGTGTTTTTGCAGTTTGTTCACCTATATGGACCAAAACTACTATTTTCCCTTTTTCCTTGCGTGCCTATTATTTTTTGGGCTATTCACGTTTTGATCCCTCTAACTTTAGCGTGTTTTTGCATTTTGGTCACCTATAGGGTTTAAAATTGTAATTTTCCCTTTTCTTTCCATGTTATACATTTTTTGGTAAAATTGTTGTTTGGTCCGTGTAAGTTAGGCGTGTTTTTACACTTTAGTCATGTGTAGTGACCTTTTTAATTTTATTTTAATTTGCATGGATTGGTTTTGTATTTTTCCATTTTTAGTTTAACATGTTATTTTTAGGCTTAAATAAAATGGATAATTATCTTTAGGCCCCTTTAGTTTCAGCGTGTTTTTATATTATAGTCCCTATTATGTTTTTTATTTTGTTTAGATTTAACCATTAAATTTTAATTTTTTTAATTTAGCCCTATTGCATGTATAATTTACTTATTTTTTAGCTTGGTAATTTAATGTTTATGTAATTTAGTCATTGTGTTTATGTTTTTTTTTTATTTTTTATGTTGTGTTTTTCTTTTCTTTTTTTTATTTAGTTAGTTTTAAAATTATTCGTTATTTTATGGTTTTTAGATTTAGCTCTTAGATTAGTTTAACACTCAAATCGAACTTAGAAATTAGAATGACACCCTAGTTATTAATTAGGGAGCAAATTGAGTCGAGTTTTTGCATAAGATGCCCGATTGCTCGAATCAATTGCTCGACTTTTTAAAAATTTATTAATCATCATTATTTTCTAAAAAAAACACTTTAGGTTTAATTCCTTTTTAATAGGTTAATTTAGATAATATTTAGGATTTTGGCTTATTAATTAGTCCTTAACTTTAGAAATCATTGATTTAGGTACTTAAACTTTTGGTCTCTTAGAACTCGATATTTTAGATCTTTAACCTTTTAGTCATCGAACTTCAAATTAGACCTTTAAGATTGACATAATCAAATAAGTTAAATAGAGCCACCACTTTTAGCTATATTTTAATATTGTCCTCTTAGTTTAGGGAATAATTCGAGTCGACCCTCGTGTAAAGGCTCAAGGGACCATCTCAGTTATTTGATTCAATAATTGGTTTAAAAATCAAATAGGGTTAATATTACAACCTACACTTCTAGGTTCTTTAATCTTCATAATTCAACACTTTAAGCTAGAAAAAACCTTAATTTACCCTTAGCTTAATTAGGATGAATAAAAATTTGTCTGATGGCATCTTATTTTTTAAATCTAAGGCAATGTCCATTTATTAGTGAATTAATAGTATATCTCCCGCAAGTATGCTCAAGGGGTGACTATTGGTGATTCCCGAAATAGGTCGACATCCTTTTCAAAACCGCATCATGATTTCTAAAATATCAAGGTAATATTCGGTTATCGAGCACAATAGTTGATCTCCTGTGTTTATGCTAAGGTAAATGCTATCGGCTTTAATAAACGAATACCCTTTTCAACTTTGCATCCGTAATCATTTTTAAATTAAATAAGTTCAAACTCAATTTTTTCGATTTTAAATATAGGGTAATCAACTAGGTACCGATTTTTAGGTGCTTGTGGAGGTTCTAATCCTTCCCCATGCGTAACCGACTCTCGAAACTAGTTTCTGGATTTTTGCAGACCTTAAAACTTGGTATTTTGATAAAAATAAAATGTTTTATTAAAATTAGCCAGTTTTTATGGTGTCCCAATCGTACTTTAAATGATTGGTGGCGACTCCTCACATTTTAAAATTATTTCAAAGGAAAACCCTAAGTCGATACTGGTCTCACCCCGCCCGAGCAAAAAACAGTATCGACAGCTTGGCGACTCCGCTAGGGACATTTTATTTTTTAAACAACTTAAGATTCGAGCCACGGGTTAGTTACCCTATATTTAGGATTTTGGAAATTATGAGTTCAGTCTTATTTAATTTACAGTTCATTTTGTTATTTCAAATCAAAAAAGATTTTATCTCTGGTTAATTGCTTACACTTCTGTGAATTTATTTAGGACTACTGCATATCATAGCTCTAAACCCGAGCTCAATCTCGGTTTACCTAAGTAGGGAGAAACGTCACACCTCATGAGGAGCATTGGGCTTCCTT